GGTTCGAGTTGACGTCAGAAGTAATTAAGAGCAATGCCTTGTTCATTGGATTTCATTGCACAATATCGCCAAGACCCTCAGTTCTGACCTTTTGATGTTTCATAAGTCGCTTTATGCGTGTGTTTGTACACGTTATTGAGTACAGTCGGATCTGCTTTAACCGCCACCTGTATAAGACCCACTTTACGGTGTGGATCAATGTAGTCTACCTTACCTTACCTGACCTTACCGTATCTTACCCTGTCTTACCTTACCTTACCCTACCTTACCTTACCCTGTCTTACCTTACTTTATCTTACCCTACCTTACCCTCTCTTACCTTTCCCTACCCTACCTTACCCTTTCTTACCTTACCTTACTTAAGCTTACCTTACACTACCTTACCCTGTCTTACCTTACCTTACCATACCTTACCCTGTCTTGCCTTACCTTACCCTACCTTACCCTGTCTTACCTTACCTTGCCTTACCTTACCTTACCCTCTCTTACCTTAGCTTACCTAACTTTACCTTACCTTACCTTAGCTTAGCTTACCTTACCTTACCCTACCTTACCCTATCTTACCTTACGTTACCTTAGCTTAGCTTACCCTACGTTACCCTACGTTACCTTACCCTACCTTACCCTGTCTTACCTTACCTTACCTTACCATAGTGTAAGATAACCACTTGTGTCTTCGACAATGGATTACCATCTGTAGAAAGTTTTGAGTGTGTTTGACCTAGTGCTATTTAGACGCCGACTGTCGATCTTTCCGGTTTGAAAGTACGTTTTTGTTTAGTTTATAATGTAGCCGGAACTGTGTAAAATTTGTTTGACTGTTTTTAGTGAAACATTATTCGGGAATGCCTAGCCCTTACTTCACTCCCGTGCTATGTGAGTGGTTGGCGGGTGCTCTGGTGTAGTTAACTTCTTCTTTCTTTCCTATCAAACATCTATCGTCCTTATCTCCCCCTTCTTCTTTTTTATGTTGGTTACTCCCTTGTAACACCTCTAATCTTCTGGCGCTCATATGACCTTTTGCAGTTGTGAGCGCCGTAAAACCTCTACTATAACTACAACTTTTTTAAAAAGCGGACTGTCGATATTTCCGGTTTGAAAGTACGTTATTCTGTAGTTTGTAATGTAGCCAAAACTGTTTAAAAATAAAGGGGAAAAAACTCCTATTTCTTTTCTTTTCTTTTACTATTCAAATAGTGTAACGTTATTCAGGAGTGCCTAGCCCTTCGCTCTAAGGCTGGGCAATGAGTCTCTTTAGCAAAATCCGGATAATATGTTAGTGCACCTTTTCGGCAAATGAGTTAGAACCTCTTCGACAAACGGTTGGAATCTCTTCAACGAATAAATGGGTGCACCAACTTCGCCAAACGGGTAAGGAAAGAGAGTAAGAGTCTGAATTCGGACAATGTCTTATTGAGGATTATCCGATTATCCGGATATTTATCCTGATTTCGCCCACCTCTACACTTTACTCCCCTGCTATTAGTGGTAAAAAATGTGGTTACTGTATCCTGGTTTTACAACACCGGCCTTGTCCAACGTCCTGGAATATTGTGTTTGTGTATTTGTGTGTGTGTGTTC